AGCTATGATTGGATATATAAAATGCTATAAAACAAACTCATTTCTTAATGAATTCATAGAGACATTGAGCAATGAGCCCTGAGTCTGTAGAGCATTCTGAAAGAAAAGAATAAAGATTTTGACAAATTTAAAAGTTATACTATCCTTGCAAATCATGTCCCTTTTATCTCTGGGTGACATGGCAAATTACACATCAATGAAACATGTAACTAAAAGTTATGCAAAAAACCTCTACAGCCTGCATAAGGGTAATATTTTTTCCTTAAATCCCCAATGAATTGGATATGATTTGCAGGTAACATGAAACTTCTACATTGCAAAAATTCTAGTTCTTTCCAAACTGTCTCCAGACTCCATGAGGATGTTTAACAACAGGGCAATCACAAACTATGCAGTAAGTCAATTTTCAAATAAAGTTCTTAGGTAGAGAAAATTCTAGAAATATCCAGACAGACTGATGTCACAAACTTGCACTATAATTATATTAACAGTTTGCAACTCATAAGCCTGATCAGTATACCTTCCAGTTCCATCAGTGTAAAAGTATAAGATTAGGCTTACCTTCTTCATCCAATACTTTTTCTTTCTTTGGAAAGGACGGCAGAGCAGAAAGTTGAGGAGTACTGACTTTCTTCATTTTCTTCCTGGCAGTTTCATCCTCAGATACCTCTAACTCGATTCTTCGAGGAAATCATTTCCTGTAGCCTCTCCCAGATTCAGCTTCAGACGTTTCCAAGTCTGATGTGAATACAGCCTTTTCTTCTTTTTGTAATGCTTCCTCGTAAGTCACTGTACAAGAAAAGGTTGGTAATACATGACTATAATGATCAAAAGATTGAATATTGAATTTCATTTTTAAGATATCTTCCACACTCACAATTATACACTAGAACTTGAACATCATGAGATTTCCATGACTGCTCTGGAACCTCCAACCTTTTGATAGCAAGGATAACTTTGCCAGGATTTCTGACTGAAGGCCACATGCATGAACTACTATCATGAGAGATCCATGCAGAAGAAACAGCTGAGACAGCCTCATCCTCTGCAAATTTTACTATAGAAAAGCTCATATGAGATGGGAGTAAAACCTGGATGAAAGAAAGTCTCTTATGGGTTATGATGGCCATTATACCAAAAGTATTAAATGTCAGGTTACAAGCTGTCAAGTCACAGAGCCACAGGAAAGAGCAGTGTTTAATCCTTGGCAGTAAAGAAGTTAATCAGCATATATTAGACCTACTGTAATTGATTAAATCCTCTGAATACAGAATATATATCATAAATTCACATGAGATGCCAATATCATCTAAGCCATTGCCACTCTTAGGATGTTTATCAGAACGACAGACTTGGCAATGGCACATGTATAAGACCTTAAAAATAGTTATATGACAATTGCACAGCACTTTTAAAGAGAAAGAAAAGAAGATACTCTCTGTTCCTAATGTTTGAGTTCCCACAATCTCTATGCAATACCATGATTATAGAATATACTCCTTACAAAAAAAGTGAAACATGGAAATTGCTACTTTGTTGACATTCAATGAAAAATTGCCTTCATTCAAAAAATTCAACAAAACATACAATTTCCATCTAGAAATTAACAATATGAGATCATAAACACCAGATATCTCAAGATATATAGATAAGAAGCAGAACCAATGGAGTTAAGGATGCTGAACCTTGCTACTTGAGACATATCCAACTTTGTATCTGCAGTCTCTGTCTAATAAATCTAGCAGCACATGAAGACACACCTTGTTTATCTTACTACAACAACAATTTTGCAAGATTTTATCTCTTATCTGGTGTAAAATTGAAGTTGACCCTGAGTCTCTCATCTCAGCCTAATCCCTTTAGTATGAATGAAATTAAAAAGTTTGCTGATAGAGATAGCGGGACCCAGTCTTCCCAACAGTCAACATCTCAAGCATCAGAATTTTCAAATAAAAAGGGGGGAAAATTCAGCAACAAAAAAGCATGAGCCTATATCATTTCATGAGAACACCAGTACAGATCTCACAGAAGGGCTCAGGTCCTGCCAACAAGACACTGAGGGTAAGAAGAGACTTCCATCAGGATTTGGTTTGGATTATCTCTGCCTACTTAGTATGGAGCAAAGGGAAGAGGGTATACTTGGAACTATGCTTACAGGGGAATCTCACAATCTTCTCATATACATCTTTTAGATGAAATGTATGAAGATCGGAAAGGTTAGATCCACAGAAAATGTTCAGTTGAGAAGAATTCAGAGGATAGTTAAATAAATCTTCAAGTTTCTGGAAAACTCTGCCATGAAGGCATGTACTATCTCCATTATTCACACTGATTCTCTCAATTACTGCAATACTTCCATTTACTAATCCACATGTGTTGTCCTTTGTGTTGGCAGAGAGAGAATCCTTTCAGTGACACTGCTCGAGAATTGAGACTTTGGGACTAGTATCATCCGTGTGGGCTATGCTCATAGGCCTCCCTGTGCTGTGTACTTCCTGGCAAGCTCGTAAAGCAAAGATTCTGTGGGTAACTTGAGCCAAAAGCTTTTCTGCTTTGTGAATGAGTTTCTTTAGAACCCCAAGGTATGCTTCAAATTCAAAGGCACTGAACCTGTCCACTGGCCCAAATTTCAGGTAGTCATCTGCAAGGTGAAGGAGTCCATGAACATTATATGACATGTTCACATCCCCATACGGGATTCTGAAATTTTAAACAAAATGTCTTAAGAGAGCAGCTGCAAAAGAATTCTGGAAAGGAGGATAAATCCCAGGCAAATTCAGTACTTCCCAAAAATCCGCAAGGACGGTAATGTGACGGCGAAAAAAAGAGGACATGTCCAGGAAAAACCGGACGTATGGTAACCCTAGTGACACGGAGTCTTCCTCCTTATCTCAGGAGGAAACCTCGATTCACTCCTGAGGAGGTGGCAGTGACAAGGAAGATCGTCTCTCGTCGAGTCCATGTGGAATGGGCCATCCAGAGAATGCGTGGATATGCCGTGATGGACTACTTCCCCACAAATCGACGTCCTTCGGCAACAAAAGTAGTGCGAATGCAGTAGTGCGGGGTGTTCCGTGAATCTTCAGACTCCCACAATTCAAAGGGAATCGAGTGAAATGGTGGGGTGATTTTCATTTCATTGAAACGAAAGAGAATGCATTGGAATAAAGGCTGAGCATCGAGCGGGATAGCCGAGCACGTCGTTCGTTGACCCCCCAACGCTAGCCACGTGCATCTTGGGGGACTGAACTAGCAGTGTAGCGAACACCAGGGGGTCACAAGATATGGGGCACGAATGCCTCGCTACATATGGGGATCAGACCCAATGTAGTCGGATGGTAATCTAGAAGGTTGCGTGTTCTTATAGATGGTAAATTAGCAAGGGAGAAGTGAAGTCTCAGATTTCCAGACTCCAAGTAGGAATGAAGGTACGTCCTTAGATCAACGTTAACAACTATGCAGAATTTATTAGGATACTCAATAGGGAAAGACCGGAAGGAGAAGTACAGGGAAATACAGTCTCACGTTCGTAGCGGGGGACTCGCACGCACTTCGTCCTGATACGGGGACGATCGAATCTGTTGGTTCCTGGCCGCCGACCGTGGTCCAGGTCGTCGGCTCGTGATGAGTCCACAGCAGTTCGCTATACAGACCAGCACGCAGTTCGGGGCTCACACCGCGGTCCACTGAGTTGACCGGCTGTGAGGGTCAGGCTGCGTGGCTCGACACCCCACGTGTTGTCCGGCCGAGGGTTCGTGACGGACTGCCGAGTAGGGCAGTGGTGAGGGCGTGAAGGGGCGAGAGGAGGTCCGCTATGGGGACTAGGCGTAGTGACTCTTCCCCTCTGCTCATCCATGGGCATGAGGAGGACTCCACAAAGGTTGTTGAATCGGAGGGTCTTTACTTCGATGAATAATGTTAATTCTGTGACGAGATATGGACTTTCAAAGTTGCGGCTTAAAAACCGACAGTACTTTTCCCACATCCTGATATTTCGGCGCCCTGTGCAAAGAGACTCCCAACACGCGCCCCACCCAATGGGTCAATCCCTAGTGTCCTAAAAGACGCCGAAACGGAAGGCTTTTCTACTTTCTGAAGTAATACTGAGGGTGGCATCCCTTTTTGCTTCATTCAAACAGTCACATTTTGGCGCCCCTGGTGGTTTTGCGCCTTGTGCGGGGGTGCGGGGGCACCTTTGGCACATGCCTAAGGCCGGTCTTGGTGGAAGGCACATGACATGGCAGCAAAGTCAAAGATCATCATATTCGCGGCGCTGATATACTAAAAAGCAGTCCTATGTGCGAATTATGACGTTTGTTATATTTCCAACATTATAATCGCAGATGTCCTGTTAATTTTTTACTCACCCACCTACTTTTGTGGGCCTTGGATAGAGAAAAATATCAATATTAAAGCGTTGCAGAAGCATTTTTGCTGATCTCTAACGTACATTATCGGAGTCGCTAATACACATTAGGAAGCAGAGTGGTGAATGCATGAAATGCGTTAGATGACGAAGTAGTGGCTGCCCCTTCTGTGACTATCTTTAAGAAGAAACTACAGGTAGATGCTGTCAACATATGTAGCGAGGCATTCGTACCCCATATCTTGTGACCCCCTTGGGCTCGCTACACCTTTTCCCAACGTTTAACCAGTTTTTTTATGCCGGACTTGAAGGGGGGGGGCTATGTTGACGTTAGGTACTAGACAGTAAGCAACTAGGATACAGTAGTCAAATAACAAAAAAAAAGCTTTAAGAGGGTTAGGCCTACCCTAAAATTAAGGAACGCTCGTCCTCGACACGTGATATCGAAATGACGAAATCGCCTCTTGATATCACTATCTTGAATCTTGAAAAAGCGCTTACGTGAGTTAACTAATGCAACATTAAATTTTTTCATCCAACGCCTCACTTTAAACCTCCATTAGTTAATACAGCTTTAGGCTAATGCTGACATTAGTTTTATGCAATCCACCCATGCACACTGTTGAAACTACTGAGCTAAGGTTGAAACTGAGCGAGGAACGATCGTGAAGCAGTGCCATTATCATGGCGACCCCTGTGAAAATGCAAGTACCGGGTGACGGGAAACTCTCTGCGAGCAATGCCACCGTACATCTCACTCCCGACCTCACTAAAATGTCTCCCGAGGAAAGGTGGAGGTAAGTCACGGTCACTCAAAGGCTGAGCGATCTCCGTACTCTTAGTTTACGCGTTTTCTGTGTTTTCGATGTAAGCCTAGCGCAACATCATGACAGAGTTGATGGGGGTGTATTCATTCGATTGTCATTGCAGCCTGCTGTGGTAATGCCTGAGCCCAACGTTAGGTTTAAGTCGTTGTGATAGGCTTAGATAGGGTTACCATATGATACTTCTGCAGATAATCTCAGCAGCAATATTTCACGATGAGCGAAAAACGGCAGCCCCAAGCGGAGGCCTTATACATGAGATAAACCATTCTGATATTTGTATTTATGTATTAACAGTAAGAGCGCATTTAGGGTTTGGATTCGACACATAAAGCCACAGAGCAGGAACCATCAGCTGACTGTAGGTGGGAAAGACCATTGTACATAATCAGAAAGATGAGAGATGATGAGCCTCTTTGCAGGTTAATATACATGAAGAGTGTACTAGATTCTCTGCCAATAGATTGTAACATTGCTACTGGAAGTTCATTAATGCAAAGTGGCCAACATTCAACCAATCATGGTGAAGAAGATCACATAAACAAAGACCTGGGATTAACCCGGGAGTGGTTTCTTGAGAAGAGGAAGATGCAGGTTTATATTTCCTATTGTGAAAATTTCAGGTAAGATTGGCTTAAGCTATTTAAAAAATGCATGTACATAACAAAACCTATAAAGCTAGAAATCTACAAACTTAAAATACCCCTTGTATGAGGGTGAGTCAATAAGTAAAGGCATAAAAGGTGAATTTAATGTATTTTATGGAAACTTTAAGTCATTTTTCTGTATATTCCCACTGGACACTGATACATTATGTCCCATCTTGCAAGAAGCTTCTAATCTCCACAGCAAATAATTCTTTGGACTGGTGTTGCAACCAAACTCGGACAACGTTTACTACAGCGTTGTCGTCAGCAATCTTTTGGCCATGTAATGCCTCTTTTAAGGGTCCAAGTAGATAATTATCCAATAGTGTGAGGTCAGGACTGTAAGCTGGATGAGGCAGAACCTCCCAACCAAGGTTGCTCATGGTTTCCATGGTTTTGGTCATCTGGGCGATGTAGAGCACTCGTGTCAAGTTGCCCATTTTCTAGCCATTCCACCCACTTATGCACATTTCGGCAGTTCATGCAGTTACCTCCATACTGTCTAACCATCCTGCAATAGATGGTGATTTTCAGACATTCTAACTATAAAAATCTGATAACAGCCTGCTGTTCCACAACCGTACATGTCTCTAGTGGAGCTGCCATTTTTTTTTTTACTGGACAATGGCCCTTCAGGTGACTGATTTTTTAAATACATAGGTAGGAGGTACCAATCTTCACAACCGAACAAGCACTGTACCTGCACTGTTGCACTATTCGTTACAAATAATTATTCTTTCTTTACTTATTGACTTGCCCTTGTATAAATGTATGACCATTGTCTCATCCTAATTCTAGCAAGAAATAAAAATTTGTTGAACTGGAACAGTACTTCTTTGCAGATAACTCTGCTGAAAGTCTGACTTGCTTTTGTCTCAAAAGTGCTGATGGGATTTTGCTTTTATTGCTCCTGTATGAATGGCTACACAGTTGAGAAAAGTTGTCATCCTTCTCCTTGTCTTCTAATAGGCAAATTAATTTGTCATATTTCAGACCCATTTCTATGAGAGATGCAATGCTTAGTCATGCAGTTTTCTGAGGTGCAGCATTTCAGAAATTAATTAGTTTAATCAGGTATCAGGTTGAATAAGTATTTTTTTATTATTATTCCCATTTGAAAAGGCCTTATGACTATTAAGTCATGTAATTGTAGATTGTTTATTGCATTTATTATATGGCCATGTATAGGGCTCTCAGCTTAAAATGTTTTAACATGGCAAACCATTACTGCAATTGGCACAAGAGGGGAAGAATGTCAACATCTACTGCATTTTCATTCCTTTCAGTCCTCAAATACCATGCAATGAGGAGCAGTAAGCCAGAGGAAAAACACCTGTTCATGCTTTCTTTAACCCTTTCATTCCTGAATTTTTAGAAAAAGGAACTTCCCTCAAATTCACACAGAGGATGATAATGCACTCTTATGAGACTCACACTAATAATATGAGGTTGTTGTCATCTTAATCTTGCTGGCAGGAACTGGTCTGATGAGTCAATGTTGACGATAACTCACAGGCATGCATATGATGGATATAAAAGTATATGTATATGCATGTTTTACTTTTAAAGAAAAATGACCTTGCAAAAATTACTGCAAGTCCATGAGCCAAAGCTTTTCTGGACATAGGAGTTCAAAAAATTAAAATTATATTCACACTCTAGTATGCAGATCCAAATCAAGGAACCTTACATAAGATGCTGAGAGATGCATCTGATGACCATTTGAGAATGTGTAGGCATCCAGTAACATTTCAATAAGTAGAGATTATTGAGTAAACATAAGCTTATCAACAGGTATCAACAGACATGGTAATCGATTGCCAAAATGAGAAAATATAGTTATCAATTAGTTTAACGCTTAGGCCTACATTGCAATCTCCCCTAAACCCTGAAGATACTGCAAAAGCTGCTTTTTGAAGGAGAGAAAATATTTATTCTCTCTGAGACAAGGTAAAAATAACTTGAGTATAAAAAAAAAGGATAAAAACAGAATTCAAGCATCATTCCCATATAGGCCTATATGCCTTTAGTTTCTGTAAGACCAGGCATATGATTGACCTAGGCTTAGAAAATTGTTATTTGCTAGCTCATGTTTCCTATAACTGTGTAATGCCTGGTATTGCTTGAAGTAGTAATGTTTGGGTCATCAGCAAGGATAATATATAAAAGTAGAGATGTTGCTATTTTATCAGTTCTTAGCATCAACTGATATTGAGTGAATCTGAGATATTGGCCTGATGTGATATATGACCTGGTTATTGATATTGAATGGACACCCGAAGTATGCTAACCACTAAGCATTTATAGCAAGTGATGGATATTTGCTCATCTTTCTCATTGGAAGCTGAACATGCCTTAATAGCATGCTTTTATAAAACAAGGAGCTATTATATTCCTTTGGACTGGTAGTGGAAGGATGACTGAAGCAGATGCCCCATCCTATGTCGGTAATCAGCATCTCCAGGTGTATGTATTAAGGCATATAGACTCTTCAATGACTTATTCCCCTGCCATGCTCATGAAACCCTATTGCCCCTTAGTGGCATCATAGGATTGTGGTTTTATTTTCTGTGATTGTTATGAATCTTCCAAGAACACTGTCTGGTTTTTTTTAAAATCCCTATTAGAACTAAGTGGAACTCAAGTTTTTTTTTTTTTTTTAAATCTCCACTAGCCCACATGTACAGTATAACTTCAATGAACAAAAAGGTTCTCACAATGCAAGTTATGCATTTATGAATGTCTTTATTTGTATTGATTCTTTAGGCATGAATGTGTGGAAATTGTAATAAGTATGTTTTTTTTTTAATATCAAGATATTAGTATATACAGGGTGAGTCAAAAGTCGCTGCACGACTTTGAAGAGCTTTAACTTGCCAAGGAATGCATAATTTGCAAATGGTATTTTTGTATATGAAAAGAGCGTGCACAAATTCACCGTTGAAAAAAAAAATTCATATATTTATTCGGAGTAGAAATGATTGCAATTACTGGCCTTGATATTGAGCATCATCAAGCTCGATTACTCGGCGGAGGCGAGCCGCCTTCGAATGGTCGACGTTTGCATTCATGTTGAGGTCAACTCCAGCAATCTTCGCGGTGATATGTTGTTTCAGTTCCTCCAGTTGGTTCAGACTTGAAGCGTAAATCTTTGATATGGAATCTTTGATACGGAAGATATGGGCAACAGTTAACCGACAGAGGCCACTTTCGAGTCCCAGCCGGCGAGTGGAATTCGTTGGTGTGTCTGCGATTTCCTTACCGACCAGCTCGATATCCTCTGATCTGCCACTGCGAGGGCGTCCAAATCGAGGCAAATACTCCATCGAACCTGTGACATCAAAGCGATCATTGATGCTTTTGATGGTGGACTTCGTCACCGTGTGACCTCGAAACATCGTTGCAAAACGATGCTTCAATTCAGAAAGGTTTCCTTCACAGATAGAGAACAGACGAACGACGGTGACGGCACTCCTCCAAAGAAAGTTTATCGGGCATTATCAGATAACCGTTTGGAGCAGCAAAAATAACAGAAAATAGCTGCGAATGGGCGTCCGTTGTACCCTAAATATATGTTATGTGTTAAAAAATTTGCTTTTTGTTTTGTGTATACTCATTCCATTTTTTCTTAGTATTTCATGAAAGTTTCTATGTTGTTTGGTCAATTAGCGCATGCTCTTTCATAAACAAAACACCGTTTGCAAATTAATGACTTCCTTGTCGAGTTATAGCTGTTCAAAGTCGTTCAGTGACTTTTGACTCACCTTGTATATGGGGGAGGGGAGGAGGGGGGCAGAGGGGACACGCGTCCCCACAGGTTACGCTTATGAGCCAGAACACGTATTCCTTGCGGGACGTCTTCCCGTGGTGTTTCGTTTCTTCACGTCTTTCCACCTCCTTCCGCTTCCCGTCAGGCAAACAGCGCCATTTTTTCGGCGATTCAAAATTCTTTAGGAAACCCGAAGGCAAGTATCTTGGCTCTTTCTTTTGGAGCATCGTTCTGCGCCTGCCCGCAATTCTTGTCGGACCTAACATGAAGGTGCCGATTCGGTATGTCAGATTTGATTTTCAGACTGAAAACTGATATTCGAAAGGGCACCGTGGATATCGATGTATCGGTTGACTAATTGCATCTAGGGTTGTGAGTAGTGGTATCATTACCGGTGATAATACTGGTAAATTACCTTTTCATGTTTTTCAATAGTTCGTATCGCTGGAAAACGCATAATACCCTAATTTAATACTTGAATATGGGCCTAGGCCAGTCGATTACGATTCTATTATTGCAAAAGCGCGAAAGTCTCAGGAGCATTTCTCCATGTCTTCTATGTTATGCTAAGAGATGAGCTGTGCAGAGATTTTCTGACTCGAAGCTAATACGCATTGTGCTCATCCTGTTCCAGTCAGAAATACATATATTTAGTAGCATTTATTCGTGACCGGAGTCACAGCTTGGTACAAAAAAAATCGCCAAGTATCGTACAATCGCCAACAAAATGTGGAAAAAGAGGAAGGTGCAGTAGAGATCAAAGTACATGCATTATCTAAGGATGCAGGTTGCAAGAGTCCAGTTTGGCGCAGCTCAGAATATGGGGACAGATAGCCACATGATATGTATCGAAGTAAGATTCGCAACAAAAAACGGCACCGACAGTATTCATTTGTCTCATGATATCCAGGGGTCGAACGTAATTTATGATGAAAGCCGTAAACCGTTGCACGAATCAAAGCTCCAAAGTTCCAGTAGTCCAATTCAGTCTCTCTAGATGTGCATTTTCATCACATTTTTGAGTATCATGAGAGTGGTATGGATAATATAAGCATGACAAATTCTTTCATTTTTCCATGTAATATTCTCTTTCATTCATGTCTTCTGGGAAAAGAGATGATGAACTTCTGTAGTGAAAGTAATATTTGCATATTTAGGAAAATTTCTGGCTAAAATCCAAGGGCCACTTGGCATGGACAGACCCATTTCTAATCATTGCTCTGGATGTCCTTTGGACCATCAGGTTGTAATACTAGGTGAAGACAAAGGCACAGGCCTAGTCTTACCAATGTAGCGTTTGCCAAGACGGGGCATTGCAGACTGCCCTTTTCTTTTGACAGGTATGAGCACCAGAAACTGCATGAACTCCATAAAGGACATGAAGCCATGCATATGGAGATGGTCCTCATTCTCCTTGTTACGATGATTGTAGCACAGGTCCTGCTTATTCAGTGGCGTCAGAGGCATGTCAAGTCTTATCAGGTTAGTTCCAGTTTTGTGTATGCCTTGGTTGAAGGAGTGTGAATGTAGCTTACATGAAATGAATGAATTTGAATCTAGGCCTGTAGGTCTTGCACTGGACTTGTAGAATAGAACTCTGAAAGAGATGATTGTATTGTTTTTTGACTGGCTTGACAGGTTGTGTCATTATTTGGCATGTGGATAATTCCACTGTTGTTCTCGATCCGGAATCTCTTCTGGAGGTTTGTGTTCACCTGGCTCCTCTTCTCCTGCATCACAGGACTCATTGTCTTCAAGTCCCTTCAGAGACCTGTTCATCCTGCCACACCCAGGTCAGATAATCCTGCTTACCCTTCTCATTTGATGATGCCTTGGAGATACACCGACGGACTAAACTGTCCTGCATGTTCAGCAACTTCCTTTTTGGTATCAATTATTTCAGTATTGGATGCTCGAATTACTCTGAGCGACATATCGTTTTGTAGCCAAACTTTTCTTTTATAAGTGTGCTAATTTTCATAGGAATCCATCCAGCTGTTATGGAGAAATCTCGACTGAAAGCAATTGCTTTCAGCATTTTTGTCCCTTGTGTCTGAGACGCATCTAGCGCATGTGCTGTCACGTGGAACACGAATACCTTTTCAGAGAATAACAAATTTGCATAGACTAAGATTGGGCAGATGCTACCTTGTATTTGTCACATGCTCAGATAAGCATGAGGCCAAGAGCTTAAAAGCCGCCCGCCACTAGCGCTGTCTTCATTCTCCTTCAGTGACATTCTTGAGTTCAGTCAGTCATCATGCATCCCATTTCTGACAACACCCAGTGAAACGTCCTCTTGCTTTTCCATGAAGTGATAGCTTCGGGGAAATTGCCATGCGATGCAAAGTTGGCAAATCGTCTGCCCACCAGATTCAGAAGCAGCATTTCCTTGACCACGTGGGGTTGAAAGACGGCTGTCCCCAGAAGCTGTCGTCTGAAGGCAAGCAGTTCTGTGTCCATGCCATCACTTCTGGTAAGCTGGAAACAGCCACGCAGATCACCAATAAGCTAAGGGACAACATAGGACTCGAAGTTAGCATCAAGACGTTTCGCTGTGCTCTCTATGAAGCTGCTTTGTGTGCAGCATATAAGGAAGAATTGTCAAAACTCTCGCCAGCAAATATTAAAGCCCGTCTAGATCCAGACAGACTCGAGTTCACCTAAAACCAAATAAGATCTGACGGTTTATGACTGGAAGTGAGTTATTTCATCGGATGAGAAAAAGAACACCCTTTTGACTCAGATGGATGTGCCTGGTACTGGAAATGTGATGGTAAACTCCAGCAAGTTCGACATGTCAAGCATGGAATGGGCTCGATCATGATCTGGATCTGCATAACATTAAGGATACCAGTCCCATGTGCAAGATCAATGGCACCATGGACCAGTAGCTCTATAGATTCATCCTGGAGGACAAATTGATACAACTGGCTGGTGTGGTCTTGACATCAACAGTTATTTTCCAACAATACAAATATCCGAAATAACAATAATAACAGAATTAACAGCTGCTCGAGGTCCTGGAGGGGTAGCTCAGTTTTCAGACCAAAACCCCTTCGAGCATCTCTGGGCACACCTCAAGTGGCATCTCACTCAGTACGAGGAACCACCCAAAAGCATTATGGAAGTGTGGGTGTGTTTCTCAAACAAAGTGGAAGAAGATTGACGAGGAAACACGTCGAAGATTAGTTGAAAGCCTGCCTAGGCAACTTGTGGCTGTGATGTGCCAAAGGGATGTGGAGAGTGTATTGAATTTGTTGAATAAGGGAATAAAATTGACGGTTTGGCACTGGGAACAAAAATATCTGCATGCAGTGATTTGTTTTCAGTTGAGATTTCTCCATAACCGCTGGATGGATGAATGAAACTTTGCACACTTATAGAAGAATTTGGTTACAAAGTGATATGTTGCTTAGAGTCTTCCGATCATTCTCTATTGAGATAATTGGTCCCGAAGTGGAAGTTGCTGAAGTTTTTTCCATAGGTGTATATGTCAAAGAGAAACAGAAGGTCAAATGCTGTTGGATTGAGTATCATGCTGTTTCATTATGTTAAGTCAGCAAATAAACATGGATTGCTTGGCTTTTCCTTTTATGCATACTTTGTAGACTTTGTGCTTTGCTTGGATTGGAATCCCCTAAATTATCAGGGAACCCTTCAATATCAGACATGAGAGTCCTGGGAACCCCTCTGACAAGAAAATTAGCACAACCCCTTTTCTGGCATACTGTACAAGGTGTGCAAAATGTTCTTGCCACAATATTTTTTATTATAACGTTGCTGTGTTTCATCCCAATTCCATCAAAATGTTATCAAACATAACAAACGTATATGGCTACAATATACTATGAGGGTTTTTCAAAATGTCCACCATCGAGTGAGATATGGGCTTTTAAACGCTTTGGAAAGTTGTCCACAATGGCCATCAGTTGTTTGACCTTAACACGTTGGCGACAATGCGTCCTGATGCCAGGATGCAGATTTTTTTTCAATGAATACCCTCTGGAACTGTTGAGAACGTTCCAGAAGATTATGATTTCGTAATTACTGATAAAAATTCCAAAAAATTCAACATTTAAAAAAAACTCGGCAAAAAAAATGTTTTCTGGGACCATGCGTCCTGATGGCAGGACGCATTTTTTGACAAAAAAAATGCGCGTGGTCCCACGCAGCGGACAAGCAAAAATAGGCTGGTCGTCAACATGTTAATGTTGTCTCAAACCTTAAGCTATCCCTTCTTCAATGAATCCACACTGCTGTGTGGTGTCGAGCAGGCCTTCTCAAAAATGGACCACACGGCGTAATCGGTAGGGTTGAGATCTGGTGAGTTTGAGCACCAGACATCCTTCCCCCACAGATTCGGAAACAGCTCTTTGCAGAGCTCCATCACTGTCTTCGTGCCGTGCGCAGGCGCCCAGTCTTGTTGCAGCATCCATTCATTTTCGTCGAAATGGTCTCGTGCCCAGTGGTCCAGAACTGCTCCCAGGATGCGGTCTTGATTCACAGCTGCATTGATCTTGACCCTTTTTCCACAAAAACCAGAGGAGTCTTGCCCATGGCACAAATCCCAGCCCACACCATTACTGACTGCGACCTGCTCACAGTTATGGCTCCTGCGAGCAGTTCTGGACCCCTGGGCACATGGCCATTTGGCAGTGTGGATTCGCTGAAGAAAGGATAGCTTAAGGCTTGGGACAACATTAAGGTCGAACAGCTGACGGCTGTCGTGGACAACTTTCCATAGCATTTAAAAGCCTATATCTTAGCCGACGGTGGACATTTAGAAAAATCCTTATAGTATATTGTTGCCATATATGTTTGCCGTGTTTGATAAGATTTTGATGGAATTTGGATGAAAATGCTGCAAAGTTATAACCAAAAATATCGTGGCTAGAACATTTTGCGCACCCTGTATATCTGGAAAATATGTATTTGGCTGGGTTTACATTATGAATATTGTTGTGAAGTGACTATTAGACTTTGCAGGCACATTTCTGTGTTAGACACAGACTAATAGTTTCATTCAGTGTCAATTGCCCAAGCTGCTTTTGGAAAAACAGCTTATTGTGATGCTTTTTCTACAGTATTTGTGACACCCCTCCTTCACATGTTAATTTGTATTTTCTTCATATGTTTTAAGTCCATTTTCCATTATGATCCCAGAGTACATCTCCTGGCAATATCATCCCATGTAGCACAAAAGTAGTGGGCCATATGCAGCCCAGGCACTATACTGGCGGATTTCTGCTGGGGTGGGAACATGGCGAATTTGCAGTAGCTGGCCTGCTACCTAATTGTAGGTGGAGGGCCACTAGCTCTCTTCCCATAATGTAGCTGGCACTCCCCAGATGCAGTACCAAGAGTCTCCACTAGATGGTACCGCTGTTCCCTGCACCCAACAAATGCAACGAATGCCTTCCTGATTTAGCAAAAGTGTTTCTTCCCTTCTTTCCTCTTTTAATTGTGCAATTTATAAGCAGATATGAGGAAAGAGTAGAATTATGATGTTTTGATTGCAGTATACAACTCTGAGAATTATTAAATGCTGAAGTAAAGTATGGGAATATAGAAGTGTGTGGGACTAGGGAAGGATAGAGCACTTAGGTTCATTAATACCATATGAATGTGTTGTATATGGTTTGACATTGTGCTCGTAGAGTCCTTACTACCCCAGGGTTCTGTATTGATTGCGGTAAAGGAGAGCAGTGGGTCATCTTGATACTCTTGGATACTCTTCTGAAAAGGCTAGAGCTCCAAGTTTTAGAGGTGAATCGGATATGCGTGGGAGTATAAGGTCCCTTCCCAGCTGGTGGTATACCACAAACGAGCTAACTGGCGATATCCTCCAGCGAACAGCAATCTTGGGCACGGCCAGCATCCTTAGCCATGTCCTTTAGAATTAGGCAAGTATGAGGTCTGGGATGTGGTTCATCCCCCCTCATATCTCCAATACCGGCAGTTGCCGTGGATGGATTTATTTTATATATATATATATGCCCATGGGGCATGAATAGACCAAAAACTTTGTTAATAAATTAGTGATTTCAAACATTTTTCTGAGATGCCACTGGTCTACATAAATCAGTGCCATTTGCTCATTGTTTGTGCATAAACTATACAAAACAACATTGAACAGCACTGCAACATGGGCATACTGGGTGAAATGTAATCATAGTTGAGGTATTAAGTGGTGTCTGAGAGCCAAACCTGTGTCTGTATGTCAGTGTATGTGGACTCATACAGAGATACTTTTAAGAAGTCATTGCAAATAATATTTATTTCACTAAGCCAAAGGTTGAAACAAAGCTTTTTTTCTCAGGATGGTGTATAAATGGTTCTTCCTGGTCCACAAGCTGAGTTATGCCCTGGGTATAGTTGGCTATGTTGTGATGATGCTCACTCTGTTTGGTATCAATGCCATCTTCCGAAGCCAGCCCCATCCATGGATGGACTTCTCTTTATTACTACTCTTCTATGGCCTCTACTATGGTGTGCTTGGTCGGGATGTTGCTGAGATCTGTGCTGATAGAATGGCTGCTCACATTGGAGTAAGTGAGAGTTCCCTCTCTAATGAGTAGGTTGTGGTGAGGCATAATGAGAAATAGGCAACTTCATATTTAGTAATCATAATTGAGTGAAATTTGGCACACATGCCCAGTGCCAGAATCTGGGGAAACTGGACTATTTAAAAAAAATAATTTTCTTGGTGCACTGCTTAACACTTTCGCTGCCGATGATGCTTGTTTCTATAGAAAGGATAACTACGAGGTGTGTGTGAGGCAGTGAACATGTTAAGAGTAATTGGATGGAGTTAAAACTTGCATACTATGGATCTCATGCTACTGTATATGTGCTTCAATGAATAATTTGAAAATTGAATAAAATGCACCCAGTAGGTATGCAGGATTAAAGAAAAAATGTAACCTGAATTCTTTAATCCAAGAAGAATGAGAATTATAAAGAATACAGCAATAATTTATGGTTGCAAAAAATATGTTGCAGTGCTTCAGAAATAATGTATGGCTTCTTATAGGCTTAGATATTCTTTGGGTCAAATATTCTGAGAGGAAAAGAAGCTGCCATACCATGCTCAAAAGGTTGTATCTGCCAATTTCCTACCCTAAACATTTCAAAAAGTGTAATGATGCTTTCTTCTATGTATCTAGTAAAAATTCAGTAAGTCTGCTGTGTCATTTAGCTTGTAGGCTAGCCTATGAACTCAATGATTGAGGCACCATCACTGCAAGTAGGCTTTCTTCTAACAGCAATGATGCGATGCTACAAGAGAAGGAGGGGGAAGTACAATCACTGCTGTAGATTGAGAGATGTACAGGGTGGGCCAAAGGAATGTTCACCTATTTCATTTGATTGTTGCATCTGTACAAATAGGACATATGCAAATTTGAGGATAATAGTGCTACTCTTTTCTGATAAAAATAATATATTTCAAGCAAATGCAGCCAATAGTTTTTATGCAACTCATTTTTCAATTAAGCAAAACATTCAGGTATACATTGCTCCATTGTATCTTGATGATACAATGGCCCCTAGACTTGTGGAATGGTTTGAACTAATGACAATATTCTTATAGAAATTCTTATTGTGGATCATGTTGGCATCCATTTTTATGCAGCAAGTAGCCCAAAAGCTATGGAGGTAATAAAGTACTATGTACTTGAAGGCTTTGTAGATGTAATGCAAGTATGGCTTCCTGAAACGCTTCTAAATGACCCAATGGGTCAGAGGGAGTACCTAATTCCCAACCACTAAGTACCAAGAGTATATACCATCAGAATATGGGAGTTGGAAGCCTTAGCTTTAGAACAACAATTGCTACCTGAAAGCGGTTGGAAATTACATCTACATTCTGGTTCAAGATCCAGACAAAGCCATTATCCCCATAAGTGTAGACACTTATATTGATCTTTTGCAAAGCATCAGGGAATGATTGGGAACATTTTATTGAATGAATCTTCCTCCTTCATATTCAAACAAACATTATTTCTTGGAACTCCAGATTCATCATATCTCACACATGAACAGAGAGGACACAGTTCTTGGAAATTGGCAATCACTCTTGGACACAAGTCAAACTGGCTAGATATCTTAGTGCATTTGGAAGCTAATCCAGGCTGTTCAATATGGTGTCTCCCCCCCAAAGTATCTCAAATTAATCATGATAGAGCAAATGAGAAATTGCCCTTACCAGGATGGAGGTTGGATAATGGTACACCTCTTGTAATTATGTTTCTGGATGATCATTTGTTTTTATAGATAGATTTAGAAGGAGACTTGAAAGTTGAGTCCGGTAAATGTATAAAAAATTCAGTTTCTCATTTTGATGAATGGTTCTGCCTCTGTTAAGAAGAAAATAAAACTTTTCATCTGAGGATATAAGCAAGCATGAGAAAATCATGTGTACCATGTTTTGTGGAAACTTAGAACTAAGTTCATATAATCTTGCTCATGGGGGGGTAGGGGGGCAATATCAGGTGAGAAGGTAGAACCCTGCATGAGCTGTGGGCCAGCTTGAATGGCCTGACCTGAGCTGACCTGACCATTTGGCTACTTGGGGCTGAAATTTCTGTGATTCCTTCTTGGGGTCCGGTTGAATTGGAGCAATTTTTTTTCAGGTTTTATTTATATTGCCTCTTGGTTGGAATCATGGATGGTCTTCTGGATTGGAATTAATGAGTGCTTGTAATCTGAAAGAAGGAGAATGATTTAAGGTCATAGTTGGGGTACTACTTGTTTATGCACAGCAAAAGGATAGAAGGCAAAAATTATTAGACTATCAGTTGGTCATGAGGGCATAGAATTGCACTTGCATCCTCACCATGGCAGTCTGAAATAATTGTGGAGCCATGGATTGAAGGATTATTTTCCTTGGAGCAGGTCAAGCTAGGCCATGAAGTCTAGTTTGCTATCAGATTATAGGTTGAGTAAGGGCTAAGCATTAGGTTGGGCTCTGAAGAATTGGCCCATACAGGGCTCTGCTGTAAGTAGAATTATATCAACATTCCAGAAAGTACCGTTGCCTTTCTAAATCCCCAAAAGATTATGCCAGTTCCAGCCATTATGTCATTAAGCCAATTTTTCAGTATACACTGAATGCTATGCATTTCATCAGATGAAATTGAAGTTCTTGAATTGAGAATAACATCAAAACTTTGAGGGTTACCCATAAGGTCAGACTTTTAAAAAGATTTAGGACCTTTTATTTTCAAATTTTTTGCAGTACTACACACCAATTGGTATGCCTTCAAGGCACTTGGATCCAGATGTTTGTGCTGTCTGTGGGAATCGCCTTCTAGTCGGCGTTGGCCAGGAAGCCATCTTAGAGGAAACCTATCGTCTGTCCTGCAGTCATGAGTATCCTCTTTACTAATGAATATGTACAAATCCTTGCTACATGTGAACACTTTTGGTATCCTTTCCACCTGATCTGTGAGTGGTGGTGATTCAGCCAACATTGACTAATTGGCTCAGTCTATTTTTCATGGGCTGATAGTTTGCTCATTCCACTTTCTGAAATACATTAAGATAGGAGAAGTATGGCTTGCTCCAAAGTTCTGCTACTATTCTGTTTTGCATTCTCACCTTGTTAGCCTTTTTACCATACTATAGTTATTTTATGAATATGAGGGATGTCCAGAAAGTTTCTGCAAATATCTAATAAAAACTGAACTGTTGTTTTCATTGCTACTAAAATCAGTACACAGAAACATCTCATCTCCCTTAGCCCTCAAAATAATCTCTGTTTGAATCTATGCCCTTCTGCCATCTGTAGGACAGCAATTGTACCTTTTCTGTAGAAGCCTGTATCTTGGCATTAGAGTCATCTACATTAAAAAAAAGCGTTTAATTGAAGCAACATCTGGGCCACCAAACTTAATTTCTATTAGGTGCTATAATGCCAGTGCTCATGCTTGCAGTGGTGACTACCACTTTATGAAAGGAATGAGGTGCACTTAGGCTACTTTGACATATGCAGACTGTGTTGATCCTTCACATATGCTAGCATGCTGCCACATTGGTCTCTAACCATGCTATTGACAAGATATCATGAAGCCTTCGTCATCAGAATGCAGTTTTCAGATGCTAACTACTTCTATCTGACCTCTTTGTGCACTGCTGCCTCCTGTGTTTTGGCCATCTGGTATGGGATTCAGTTGAAGAATATTTACCAGTGTTTCCTTCAGTGGACTGCTGAATAAAATGTGTCCTAGAGGTATTCCTTGAATATACTGGTCAGGCATGTCTATATGTGATCAGGACTGGGCAAATTTAGATCTATGGACCATGTTACATAGTGGACCAGCTTCAACATGAGTCTGATCATTTATTGATATTGACTGAAGTAATGGGCACTCTGTGGCCATGGTAATACTGCTACCACTTTGTGAGGCCAGATTTATCAGACCCCCTGTGAGAATTTTTGAAGACCTATATTGAAGTTATGAGGGACATTCAAGAAACAGGTGGACAAGTGGGTTTAGAATTAGACACAGTTGAAGCCAGGCAGCATTAGAAAAAAAATAACTGTGGACAAATGGAGTACCATTGGACTATCTGTGATATCATAATGAAAGTAATAGATCTAAGCCTAGGATTCTCAACCATGGACTATAAATCCATAATGACTCTAATGCCAGGTTTCTTTGACTGTTGAACTGGGGCGTAATGGTGCATGAATGATGTTTAAATACATAGCATTTCAAGAAAGCAAAAAAAGAAATTGAAATGGCCATTAAGGAAAGGGAGAGTGCATTTTCCCTTATCCCAAGCCCTGCATTTTTGTGACCATTCTGTGGCTCCTTTCTTGCTAGCTCCCATTGCTCTGCCTCATTCATCTTTCATAAAGAATGGGTACTGCATCTTGAAATGATCTTAGGATTCCAAGCAGTTATCCATGTCTCAGACATTGATGGAATGCCACCCAGTCTTTTCTTTTCTTAATGCTCTAGTCATGGTTGGTGAATATGATTTTTAAAATTTAAATCATTGTTTTTAAACTATGTAAGATTTTTTCCAATTGCTTGATTCTTTGCATTTTTCTAACCTGCAAATTTTGTTTTCTGGGCATCTTCATTATTGTCTCGTTGGGTGATTACTTGGACTAGGTAGACAATGCAAATATGTAGATTTAGTATTTAAAATAATACCTAGTCTCACCATCTTCTGTGTATACTTACTTGTCACCAGTCCCTGTAGGATTTTATGGCCTTTAGACCCAGTCCTTCCCATTCATGCTGTCAAAAGACAGTCCTACCCATTTCCACGTCAGGTACTCCTTATCACTTCTGATCTCATAAGTAAGCAACATTAATTTATACTTTAAGTAAATTAGAGAAGGAACAGAAATGATGGTAGTGAGATGCACAATTGAAAATTGTACTTGTCTGCCACAGAGAAAGTGATTCAGTGTTTCCCATCGTTTGCCTGGAAAATGTGGTGCTTTTTCCACTGCCTTTAGAGCTGAAAAAACCAGCATGTATTCTGAAACTTATTCGAATAACATGCAGTGAAGGAAAAGAAAAAACCTAGATTATGCCTCTATTGCTTGAAGTGACATCTATTGCAAGTGTTAGAAGTACTTCTTTGCCGAGCCACCAACAGAGTCTATTGAAAAGTATGGAACCTATGTTAACGGGGGTTAAAGTCATTCTGGAAACACTGTAATAGACCACACCCACTTCCTGCTGGATATGCTTTGTGAGTAACAAAATTTCAGCAGATAAAGAACTCAGGGTTAACTTTTAATTTGCAGTAAGAGAAAATACAATTAGTAATCAGATGTAGAGGGCATTGTTGATGTCCAAGTAATTGCTTTGTCCAATCCTAGAAAGAGCACTTAAGAAATAGCATCAAGGAAAAACTATTTAACTTTTAAATTAACCCTTTGCACTCTGTTTTTCTCACAAGGCTATGGACATTGTTGGACCACCAACAGTCAACCATAAAAGGATCAATTATGATGTTATATTTTTTGTGCAAGCCTACAGACTATGACAATATAAGACTACTCTCACCTTCATATTACCTCTCCAACATAATTAGGTAATTTGGTTTACTGTGTATTATTATGTAGAAAGATAAAGGATGAATCTTTTAAATCTGTATGGATATTTTATTCCACACTTGCTTAGCATTGATTTTTGGTATCAGCCAACTTTTTAGGACAAAGGGACTTTTGAACTTGAGGCAAAGATGTTAGCATATAGAAACTTGGAGTCATTTTTTTACCAGCATCAAAATCCATGCCTGTGTCTTGTCCACTGTTTGCCTTAGGGACCTGCAACTTTGAGCATGAGCTATTTTCTAGATACTCAGGTTGCATGCCAAATTTAATTACATTTTGAGATTGTCAAGCACAGAGTGTTTCCGTGCTCACAGTGGAATGATCTATCTGTAAATTGCACAATGGGGCATTGTATAGCTGAGGCAAAGGTATTGGCAGAAACCTCATTTCGACCCCTCATAACCTTTGAATGCTAATTGCTTTTTTTTAAACTCTGTTGCATATGTAGAGCTCTCTTTCCCATATAGAAAACAATGAAGCTTTATTTTAAATCTCCCATTATGGTCCAGCATAGAATTACTGTATATATTTATGGATTGCATGAACATTTAATCACCATTTCAGTTACCTGATACTCTGTAACCCTGGAGCCAGCTGTTAAATTATGAGTTATGCTTGAACTATCTGTCAGTATCTAAATCAGATTATGGTGAATTTTCAGTGTTTCAATGATATTTTGATAATTTGTCCCCCATGATGACCTTGACTTGATATATTTGAAGATTCCATGAGTTTTGCATCAGGGGATGGTGCATTGTAGGGAAGAAGCAGACTTGTCCATACTGCAAGGAGAAGGTGGACCTTCAACGCATGTTCCCCAATTTGTATCCTTTTCTTCAAGACTTCCAAAAGAATAAAATGTAATACTTTCCTTCTATTCCAGGAAGAGTTGTGGGTCTGTAATGGTCACATTATCTTCTCAAGAATGACTCTTTAAGACTATATAAACTTTAAATTTCAGTTGGCGACAAGAAAAAAAATAGTTATGTCAAGTTACTTTATGGACACCCTATAGAAAGATTTTACATCATAGGATAGCTTGTTCTCTCCTCTGGGAAAAAGAAACTTAGGACTTCAAGTATGCCATCATTTCTCAAGGTTTCACCTTGGTATTCATCTGGCCTGATTTTCCAACTTGCAAAGTTCTTAAAATTTTTATGTTTTTCTTATTCACTTTCGTCCTTTGCCTATCCCATGGTTCCCTTGCCTTTTATCCATAGCTGCTAATTTTATTTCATTGTTTCATGCTGAAAGACTAGACCAGATGGATTCATAGACAATATATGGAAAATGTCTGCATTCTTCATGCCATCAGTGAGAACTTTGCAGAGCTCAAAGAATAAGATATCCTAGGATATAAAAGTTCCCCTGCTTGGTGCTTCCAGAGCTAAGTAATTAGTCTGTGAGAGAGTTTCACAAATCAGGCAGCATATTTACATTACATTCTAACTTAACAACTAAATCTAAGGATTCTTTGACATATCATTGCATCTGTCTCATTTTGACTTCTCCTTTGATGCATTTCCTTAAAGCATTTTTCATTGTCAGACCACTAACCCAGAGAAAAGTAAAGAATGCTATGTATTGAGGCTGTCGCAATGGCTGTTTTGATCATCAATGCATGCAATTTGAACATCAATGCATCAGGAAATTATTTACTGCCCAGAATGCCATGGAAGAGTGGTATTTGTTGGCAAATTCTGTAATATGTCATGATTGAGGGGAGGGGGGCCTTTTACTTTCATTGTGATCAATCAAGGGAAAGGGGGCTCCTTCTGTCATCTCTCATTGCAATGGGGGGAGAGGGTTTGCCTTCTTTTGTTTCTCACCATTTTCAATCAGGAGGGGCAGAATGCTGAGGAAGAGGGAGGGCTGGAATTATCACAGTGGCTGACAAAACCATCATTCCCTCCAACTATCAATAGTGACACCAATACATTGATGCATTATGACTTCATTACTATGTATCAAATGGAATCTCATTTCAATATCTTTTTAATGCATAAATCTATTCATTAAAAATCAAGACCATCCTTGGACTATAGCATTTTGAACATAACATGTTGGATGCTGTCTCCTCCCAAACCTGGCATGATTTGTACAATTCAGATAACCTCGACAACCCCCATCAATCCTATCTGCAGATGGAGCCAGAATATGTCTTTGGTTTTTCTTATATACCTAACAGACAGGATATCATAGATCAACTGGACATACACTTTCAGATGATATGGAGAGGAAGTTACTGATTCTATTGGCTTGGGATGTAGTTATTCAAAATATAAATGTTTCTTACTTCAGAATGC